GCAATAAATCAGAGGGATCAAATGTAATGTGCAGATTGTCAAACAGCACAAGTAAACAGGCCCACATCGCCACACATAGATACGTTGTGAGTCAACTTTCTGCTGTAGCTTTTCCTTTGTCCTTTTTTTCCATTGTCTGAACAGAGAAAAAAAAACTAGTTTCTCAGTCTTATGTTCCTTATAACTGAAGCTGTTAGAGGGTGTTTGATCTGAGTCTCCCTGAGTAAATCAAGCTCAAAGGGCGGCAGAATATCTGCCTGTGCATCTGCTCTAGGCTCAGACGAAAGCAGCCAGTGGAGAACTGAGTATTTATAGATGGTGACAAGGTAACTCTGGATCAGGGTGATCATGTGTGAGGCTCAGAGGCTGACTAATATAACTTTACAGGCAGGCTGTAGACTAACTTTGGCTCTTCCTGATGAGTTATTGTCCTTTGATGAGAACAGCACATGCTCTCAATGGGTCGTGTGCAGAACAACGGCATCACAGGTGCTGTCTGTCTTATTTCCTTTGGCTCACTTACTATTTTTATTTTGTTTTTCTTAGAATCTCTGCTTCCTTCCATCAATGTTCATATCAAAATTTTTCCTTGTTGTCTCTGATGATTTCCTTCCGTCTCTCTCTCTCTGTTAGTCCCTTATTACACGCTGGCCGGAGGCCCTGTTTGGCTCCACACAGAAAAGCACATGGTGACACCAGGGTGGCCATCATACAGGAACCCCGGCCGTATGACGGCCAGGGTCATCTGTTTCTTAGGAAACAGATGCAGCAAGTATCAAAATGAGAGCGTGTGACCTCACAGGATGTCTTAACTATGGCAGGATGCAGGTGTCCGAAATTAGCAGGAAAAGAGCCTTATTTTAAAGACCAACTTTGTCTCCAGAGACACATCCCACCAAAACCGAGTGGAGTGAATCTGTCAGGGACACGGGATATGTGGTTTGATGGTGGGGTGTTTGATGTAAAAAAGTGTTCATGTGAATAATTAATATGGGTTTTCATTTTGAATTTAAATCTAATTTGACTTAAAAACATGCAAGTTTAATTGAAATATGACATGGATCTAATAAGACGAGAACTTTAGTGTAAGAAATTTGAGGTCCTTCAGCACCACTGTTTGAACCCAAAACAAACCCAGAATCTTAGCAGTCTTCCATCCTTTCCTCTGTCCTTTTCCTCCTGGTTATAAATGTTTATAGCCCACACCCAATCACATTTTTTGGCATGCTCATTCTGTGTAAACAA